AAAGATCCTAGGGATGCCAGCTAAATAGTGCATGGGCTGGCCTGCCTCGTTCTAGTGCCGGGCGTGGTGGGGAGGAGGCTGCTGTAGCCCATTGCTGGCCCCTACCCTCCACTGGGGCAGACGCTGTCGGCTCCGTTGTCCCGAGGCCTCCTTGCGCTTCAGGTTCGGTTGATCTAGCTGATCAGCAGGTGCGGGGAGCTCGGTGCCTAGACGTTGTCCTGGTGAAACGCTGGGTGATTCCACCCGTGGCTGGTTGTCCTGCACTCACCAGGGCGGGGTGCAGCTAGGACAGAGCAACTGCGTGTGCGGACGCTCTTCAGCGGAGTCTCTACAAGGGGGGTTAGCACGGACGACGCTGGCTTCTAGGCGGCACGGACCAGCCGCTATCCAGCCGAAACAATCCTGTGCCCTTCGCGATGGGCCTGGCCCAGCCCCGAAACTCCCTGTGTGCCCTGGGGGGGGGGGGGGACCCGACCCCGCCCGGGGGGGGGGGGGACGACGGACACGAGAGCCAGATCTTAGTTGGAGCCCAGCGGCAGCAGGCCTGGCTCCCTGGTAAGGAGACATAGTTACACCCTCTCTACCATACGCTTTTTGGTGCGGTGGGACCTCTAGCAGACAGACAGACAGACAGACAGACAGACAGACAGACAGACAGACACACACACACACACACACACACACACACACACACACACACACACACACACACACACCCCGCCCAAGACGCTGGTTGGGAAATCTGTAGTTTCCTTCCTCCCAGCCATGTGGGGGAAACAGGCGGCTGGAGGGTATTTTTGAAGATGACTGTTACTTTCTGTTTTCAAAGGGCACACGGGGGGCACCGAGGGATTGATGATGACTTTAAAAGGTTACTGGGGGGTGTGATTCCCCGCCCCCCCCGCCGCTTGTATTGTTTTAAAGAAGCCTGGGATGCTGAGTGGGAGCTGTACCCCCTTAAGGGGGGGCTCCTGATCCTTACTCCCTGTTTTCTCTCTCTGCAGCGCTGATTAGGGCAGGACTGTCAGGGCAGCATGGGATCCCACTGCATGTTCAACCCACTCAGATACAGCCCCACGGGGCGGTTACTGACACCATCTAGGCCAGGAAGAGCCAGGTCGGATCACCTGTAGATCAGAGGCTGAAGACCTCCACACATGTCCCCTACGTGGGGAGCCCAAGAAAGCCAGCCCTGCCCAGCTCCGGGTTTCCATTGAAATCAGTGAAAACTCCGAGGCTTGGCGGGTCTGGGCCCCAGCCTGGATTTGAAGATGCCAAGAGATGGAGAACACAGTACGTCCCTCAGGAGTTCGGGCCCAGGGTTAATCATGCGGCCCGGTTAAAAATCGGTGCCTTCTTTCTAATTGGACTCTGGCTTCAACTTCCAGCCCATATGTAACATATCGAGAGCAAGCAACGGGTAGCATCCCCCCCCCCCACAACCACCCCAGCTCTAGCCCCCGCAGCATGTGAAACTGCACATACACCCCCACCGCCCCCGACAAAAACCACACGAGGCCAGCGTTTCGTTTTCCTCCAAAAAAAGAAAGCCTGTAATTGTCACACTAACCTCAACACTCGTTGAAAAGTTTTGCCTGGCGGAGACCCACCAAAAACAAAAACAAGTCCCCAAAACCCAAACTCACAGCACAAGATCCAATTCCGTTTTTATACGAGTCAGTCCGTGGCCGATTCGGTGCTGGGAGCATTTAGTGTCACAGCAAATCTGGCCAACCCACCCCCCCCCCCCCCGCCCCCCCAATCAGGAATACTGTAGTGTTACAAAATGACAATATAAATAGCTTCTTTAAAAAAAATAGTAACAAGAAAACAAATCAGTAGTTGTTTCTAGACAGAGTTCACCAGTTCTTTGCTTCGCCAGGATCCCCTCCGCCCCCCCGGCATTTATAGCCTGGTTTCTCAGAGGATTGGCGCACCGGGAAGGTTGCTGCGGACGACGTGATGCAGGGGGGCGCTAGTGTCTTACGTGGCTGTGTAACAGCCGGTGCTGATTGTCACAAGTCCGCCGCTGGCGTGCGCTGCCGTAGCGTGGGAACGCAGGACTGCCCGATCATTCAGTGAGCAAACTGCCGCTGGGGTTTTCCCCACAGCAGCAGGCGCTGGGGGAGGGACTGATTCAGAAAAGGGGCGGCAGCTCTTCGGCCGGAGCCCAGCGCTGGTGGCAGGGGTCACCCGGAGAAGCAGCGAGCGAACGGAGTGGATGCTCAGCTGATGTAAACTGGGGGCCTGCAATGGGTCTACAGCCGCTGAGGAGCAGGCCCCACGCGCGTGGGGCTGATTTAACCAGGGGGGGAGTTGGCCCGGTACGCCCAGGAGCAGATGCTGTTACAGTGGCATAAATTGGGACGAACACCGGCGCCAGTGGAAGGACAACCCCTCCCCCCAGTCCTCGTGCCCCCTGGGAACGCTCGACCACACACCCCAGGTCCCATTGCCTTAAAGGAGACCCAGGATGCTGCGCCAGCCCAGAGAGACATTGAGTGTGACCCACAAAGCCCTTCTGCTCCAGTCTCTGAGCCCCCCGCCAGCTCCCACGCTCCCCGGGAAGCTCAGTGAGAGGTTAGGGGGTCTGAGCACCCAGTAACACATCATGACCGGGTGAAGCAAGAGAGACAGGCAAAGGTCTGTCATTGATCTGAAAACCCCAATGAAAATAAACGTCGGTTAAACCTTCCCGTGTGGGGAGATCAGGGGAGGGGGGAAGGAAGTCAGAGCCGGCCGACGTAGTTTATGTCAGAGCAGACCAGGGGCGTGAGAAGTGGCAAGGCTGTGTGTCCTGTACAGCACGGGACTGTCTCACACCCCCGGGCTTCGCTACAATTCAAGCAGGCTGAGAAACGGGAGGAGTTTAAATGTCAACGTGTCAAAGCTGAGAAAACCCCCAGGAGCCCAGGCAGGAGTTGGGCGAAGGGCCCGGGATGAGAAGGGAGAGCCGAGGTACAGCGCGGTGCCCGGGGGGCTGTATCGAACAAGACCCACCCCCACACCGTAAATCCGTCTGTGTGGAGCTCTGGGGTTGGGGGCCGGAGAGCTTTGCCTCATGGTCAGTTGTGGGTGGGTGTGAATCCACCCATCCTGGGCATGCTGCCGGGCCCGGCAAGGGTTTTTTAAGTGAACTAGTTTATAGGTTTCAAAACACTAAGGCTAAAGCCCAATGGGGAAAGAGCATGAAACAGACAGCTTCCGAGTCGCCCCACGCAGCCAGAACGGGTCACGGATTCGGCCGACCGAGCAGCAGCACTGGCTCAAACCCGCTCTCCCTAAAAACCCCAGGAAGACACTGGCTCAGTAAGAGGAGAGCTAGGCCGGCACGGAGCGCTCTGGAAGATCTCACACATTAGCCAACTTTCACCACTTCCGTGGCTGGCTCCCAAGTGGACCGACTTCCGCTCTCCCCAGTGAGTTCAGGGGAGCCACTTCCCAATTTCCATCCATGGCAGGGTTAGGCCCAGCAAATAAAAATACCTGATTGGACCCACGTTCCCCCCACTTCCCCCGTCAGTCTCTAGAGGCAGGTTGCCCTGTAGTTCTCTCTTGCAGCGAGAAGCACGACTGATGTGCAGTTCTGCAGAGAAGAAACCAGTGGCCAGGGAAACCAGGTAAAATAACCGCAAACAATCCCCTTGTGCCTGGAACCAGCCCACTCCTGATGCATTGGGGGGGGCTCCCGGAGAGAAGAAAAAAAGGCAGCGAACCAGTTGCTCTAACTGAAGTATCTAAAAGCACATAAAGAAAGACCATCCCTGGGCCCCTCCCATTCCCCAGAAAGCATGCAGAGGAGTCATGCATGTTCATTGCATGTCGCAGGGGGGAATCCTCCTCAAAATGGCTCAGTTTCCGCACGCGGGACCCTCCCCGAGCAGCCCCCCCGTGGCGCCCCTGGCAGAATGGAAAGTAGAAGCAACAAAACTCTGGCCCACGTTCGGGGCGATTCTTCCTTTGGAGCCACGTCATGGCACTGCCGCAGAGCGGGCTGCTTGGCGGACGCAGCGCTCTGCCTGCCAGCCTCGGACCGAAAAGTCTCTGTAAGGGGTAGGGAAGCCGCCCCCCTTTCCTGGCTGGTGTCGGAGATCACAGCTCAGTCCAGCCCCCGACCAATGCTGAGCGCCGAGCTCCCTACCCACACCGATGACCAGACCCTGTCACCTCCTCCCTGCGCTGAGCTGGACGCAGGGGTCCTGCCGACGGGTGAGATCCTGCCAGGGACAGGGAGCCCCCTCCGGCAGGATCTCTCCCAGATGAGCCAGCAAGGCCCAAAGCCCAGACTACACCAGAGAGCTACAACGCCCTCTGGTCCCCGTAGGCCTTCGTTTCTCTGACCCCACAGGCTGCCCAAAACAGAGGGCAACAGGCCGGGAGCGTTGGGAACCTCCCTCCCCCACACTGCAGAGACGCCAGGTATCCCAGCATGCAAGGCTGCACAGATCAAGGATGCTGGGATACCAGAGTCTCTCCGCACCAGTCTAGACGCAGGGGGCCGGAGTGGATTGCGTTTTGGAGGCCCCGGGGGACGGGTGAGCCATGCACTTCGGGCTACTCGGATGGAAAAGAACCTGTGAAGCAAAGAGGCCAGGGGGCCGAGTCCCTGCTCCCCCAATCCCAGGGACTGAGCAGCAGCACGCGTCTAGACCTCAACGCAGAACGAGTGGGGGGGCGGGGGGGGGGGGCAGCATCGAGATCCTGCAGCAACAGCCTCTAGTCTCCTGCGAGGGACGGTGTGGTGGAGACCCCGAAGTTACCACGCAGCTGGGCTGGGCCTGGGCAGCACAACCAGTGCTGACCTCAGCCGTTACGCACCAGGGGTGGAGACGGCCGGGGGAGATTTGGGCTGTCAACAACCCAGCAATAGGAGCCGTTTGCTTTCCCGGCTGCGTCTAGAGCCATCCTCCCTCCTGCTGGGGAGGATGCCCTGCCGCTGGCGCCCCCCCTACCGAAAACCCCCAAATGCTACGGAGCTAAACAAAACCGCTCCTACCTACCCCGACCGCTCCTGTCCCGGCCCGGGGAAGATTGAGCCCGCAGCCGAGCAGCCCAGACATCAAAGCCGCTTCTAGCCGTGGCTGGAAGTTCCAGTGTTGAGTTGCTTAGTGTCTGTCGCTCCCGGCCCCGCCTTGTCTGTGTGTGTGTGTAAAAACTACCATTTTGATCAGAAATTTTAAAGTCATTAAAAAAACCCCCCCCCCCCCCCCCCCCCAGCTGGCCCCCCCGCCCCCTCCACTCAGCAGCATGGTGCGACGGGCAGGAGAGCTCCTGCCACAGTCACGACAGTAGTGGCACAGTTGTAAATCCAGTTAGCGGAACCGCCGGGAACCCGGAGGGACCGAGAGAGCCGGACGCTCCTGCCGCTGCTCTGGCTGTCGGGAGCCGCCGTCCCTGCCGCGGCGGCCGAAGGGAACGGCAGCGGCGCCCTGGAGAACGGAGGGCCGGGGGACGAGGCAGGGACGTGGCCGGCCGCGTGGGGAGCGGTTAGACGGCGCACGCGTCTCTCTCTCTCTCTCTCTCCGGTGCAGCCGGCACTCTCATCTCATCCGGTTCTGCCGCATGAGCGGCACGATGCTGGAAGGAGGCCCGGCCTTCGCCAGGAAGGGGTGTTTCAAGAGTTCGCTGGCGGAGGCTCGCTGGACCGGATCTCTCACCAGCAAGCGGTCCAGGAATCCTTTGAGGGAAGGAGAAACCTGCAGAGGAGGAAGGAGCAGCTATGAGTCAGGGGCTGAGAAGAGCGAGTGCCACTGGGAACTAGAGAAGCCACGGCTGGAGGAGCAGGACCTCAGCCCTAGGCTCCCCTGGGTCGGCCACCCACCCGGATCCTGCAGCAGGCAGGAACTGGACGGGCTGGAGCTGGGGAAGGGAACAGGGGGAAGCTATGGACTGGCACGACCTCCATCCCCCGGGCACAGGCCTCTTGAGCTCGCCCTATTTCACCCCAGGCCTTAAGTGCCAAGTCATCTGGGCGCTGAAGTCAGATGCGGAACAGGGCAGTTGGCAATGAGTCACCGAGAACATGTTACAGATCCTAGAAGACACCTCCCTACCCGCAGAGCAATCCATCCCCAGACATCAAACCCGAGTGCACGCGAGACACCCGCCCCCCCCCATGCACCCAGAGAGATGCATGCTAAAAAGTGACTCCGCTCTTCGGGTTTTATAGCATCCGTGCCCCCCCCCCCCTTCAGAGGGGGCCGGAGCACACAGAGGCAGGGTTCCCCAGTGGAGAGCAGAATGCAGAAAGCTCTCTGCCTCGACGTTCCTGGGCACGGCGCTCTCTCCCCCGGCTGGAAGCGAGTCTGTAAAACGGGTGGTTGCTGTTAACTCCTCGCTCGCTGCAAAAGCAGCACAACCACCGTGAGAAAGGGGAGGCTCTGTGGTTCAGCATGCCAAAAATAGGGCAGGTTGCACAGGCCCGTGGAGCTCAGCCCCCGGCTGAGGCCGCGACCAAGGGAAGCCCTTCGGTAGATCACGTACTCCTGCTCCCTTCTGTGCATACAGGGAGTCCCTGCCTCGAAGCGCTCAGAATGGACAATAGGTGGGAGGGGAAACCGAGGCACGACGCGGCAATGGTTCACCCATGCTCTCACTTGGAGAGCCAACGGCAGGCATGCGAGCGCACACGTACATCACGTACACGACGTGTATGGAGAGCTCACAACATCATAGTTGTATATTCTCTCTCACAATGCAGACAGAGGGTTTTGCTACACGTCCGCAGGTCCTGTCATCATCCTGTTCCACACCCACCCTGTACCGACAGCTTCATGAAATCTAACAGGGAGAGAAGGGACTTGCCCAGGGTCATTCGGCAGCGCGGTGGCAGAGTTGGGAATCGGCCTCCCTCAAGTTCTTGCCACTCCCGCCCGGGGCACATTCGCGCATGGGACTGGATCTGCAACCGTCTCATTCCCGGACGTGAGAGAGTCACCGTGAAACATCAACGTCCTCAGGGGGTGTGTCTGTGTCCTCCCACCCCCCCAAATACAAAGGAACCCAGTTCACCAGGCCAGCTTGCTAAAGCGTTTGGAGCGGATACACAGCTCCCCATGGAAGCCCATCTGAGGGAGAACCAGGCCCACGCGCTGCGGAAGCTGACCACACCTATGGGTCTCCCATCCAGGTTCCTGACCCTACTTAACTCGGGAGAGGAGGAGATGACCAACACGTTCATTACCTTGTGCACATTTTTAAGTTTCGGGGGCAGGTTGTCCCGGATCATCTTCATTGCCTTTAAGGGGGGCTCATTGAAATAAGGGGGCTCTCCATCCACCATTTCGATCACCATCACGCCGAGGGACCAGATATCCACCTGCAAAGAGAGGAGAGATGGGTGAAAGGGAAGCGAAGGGACAGCGACTGGCGACGGAATGACGGGTGGGGTGGGGGGCTGCTGTGCCCCCAAATCTGCCCCATTGTGCTGGGCACTGCAAGACGCAGAGTGATGGACAGTCTCTGCCCCCAGAGCTTACAGCATAAATAGACAAAAGGGAGGGGAAACTGAAGCACAGAGGGGAAGTGCCTGGTCCAGGAATAGCTCTCAGCCCAGTATCACAGAATATCAGGGTTGGAAGGGACCTCAGGAGGTATCTAGTCCAACCTCCTGCTCAAAGCAGGACCAATCCCCAGACAGATTTTTGCCCCCGATCCCTAAATGGCCCCCTCAAGGATTGAGCTCACAACCCTGGGTTTAGCAGGCCAATGCTCAAACCCCTGAGCTATCCCTACCCCCCTGCTCTAGTTGCTAGACAATGCTCCCTGGGCAGCACATCGGTGTCCTATTTAAATCAGAAAGACCGGTACCCTCGCCAGAGGTGAAGAGCACCACAGGGCCTCACTGAGAGAGCGATTAGGCCACACTCCCCCAGGCAAGGCAGCCTGGAGTCTGGATCCGACAGAGACAGCAGCTGCATGTTAGAAACACCAGTCATCTGGTATAGAAACCCAGAGCCTAGCCTGCTACACACCAGATGACTGGTTTGTTTCTAAACCTGTCCCGGCGGCCCTCCCCCCCCCCCCCCCCCCGCCTACAGTTTGCCCCTTAATTAGCAGGGACATAAGCGTGTCTAGTGCTTTATTACGACACAGACGCTTCTAAGATGCACAGGAACGACTGCCATGAATTGAAAGCAAGCAGGGAAGTCTTCCAAAGACAGGGACCACATTCCGCGTCCGCACCTGTTAGCATGAGCACTTTCCTTTTTAGGACCCAAACGCACTTATGGCTAGTTTGCATTTATACACAGCGCCACCTAGTGGCCTTTGTTGCTACACACGTGCCAGAAGCAGACCGGATTTCACGGCTACAGGAATAACTGGCCCTCTGCAGGGTTTGTCCTGCCTAGGAAAAGTGATAGAGTTTCAAGCAGGCTTAGTCAGCACATCTGATTTAACTCCGCCTTACACGATCTGCTTTTCCTAGTCAAGACAAGCCCCCGGGGTTTGGGAGCACGGAGAGAAAAACACACCCACCCACCCACCCACCCTTTAGGGTGTAACCGTCAATTTCACTGCACACACACAAACCACGGCAAAACATTTCCACTGATGATCATTGAAATGTACAGGCAGGCAACGTCAGGAAAATGCTGCCTGAGAACGTATGAGAGAGTTTGGTTTAAGGCTACGGACTTTGTCGATTTTGACATGTGATGCTGACAATTTGCAGGTTAATAGCTATAAAGCTTTAACTTTTTGAATCCCAACCTCTACAGTCGTTAAATAATTAACTGCCCCCCTCCCCTGCTTTTCTGAACTTCTCCCACAACTGTGAACCTTTCGGTCTACAAACATTAGAAAAAATGTGCATATATACACAGCAATCATCATCATCAAAATTGTAGAACAAGACAAACTGAATTCTGCCCCACTGGCGACCTGGTGACCCACCGGGATCCTCACAGGGCTGCTGATCCAAGGCCCAGTTAGCGTCAGTGGGATGTGGACTGGCTCCTGCCAGCTCATTCCACACGCGCTGCTGGGAACTTGCTGTTCCCCTCTGCGCCTGGGAAGCTAAAAGCTGCATCCACCTTTCCATCCCGCAGCCTCTAGGGTTTAGCATTGCCGGGGTTTTACCATCTATTCATCTCCCTGCAGGGTGGACAGGTGGATCAGAACGCCCTTGGCTGTGCCGAGGCCCCCGTTTGTATCCCCGATTTGGGGGGAGGGAAGCATACGATGCCAGCTTATTACCCAGGCACTAAACTAGGGATCGCCCAGGCCCTGGTTGTTCGTTTCCCTGACACTCCGTCATTTCCACTGCTCCCATCTCCCTTCTCTAGCAGTGGCCTTTCTTAGCCCTTCGATGAGCCTTCTCAGGAAGGGGCCAGGATGAACTTCCCCCAGGGATCCCAGGGCCCTGCCCCTCTAACCTTACCTCTGGTCCATAAGGTAGTCGGGAGATGAGCTCTGGCGCCATCCAGTAGGGGGTTCCCACCAGCGACTTCCGCCGCGGGACCTCTTTGTTCACTTGCGCGCAAAACCCAAAATCAGAGAGCTTCACCTAGGGAGAGAGGAAAGGAAAAGGGGTTGAGAGTTAGCACAGGGAAAACGGCTGGCAGCGGCCATACCGGCCTGCAACGCCGCAGAGAGCAATCCTTGACCCCCAGCAAGGAAGAGGGCCCAAAAATGCAACTGAAACGAGACCCGTGAAGAAGCAGCGGAGAGGAGTCTAAAGTTTAATTCTAAAAATAGCTTAAGCCGCTCAACACTTCAGTGATCAACGCCGGTTTGCAAAGTTGTTTAGTTTTTAAATCCATAATTCCTCCCCAGCCTCCACCCGCTGTGATCAGAATCTCCCAAGTACCAGATTTACAATCCCCATATTCAGAAGTGTAAGAGCTTCACAGGAGTTTATCAGTGTAAACAAAACACCCTTTTCACATCGGCATCACTCCAAAATGGCTCAGATTCAAAAGCAAGCTTGGCAGGCAATTACTCCATAATAGCCAGGGTATAATAGGTTTGGGCCTTCTGGATGAAAGGGGGGTGGGGGGAAAAGAGAGACAGGGAGTTACTGAGATTTCAAAACCTGCTATTGAACGGCATCTGCTGGGCCTGATGGCAAACCCCCTGAGAAATGAGGCGGATTTGCACAGGCAGACGGAAAATGGAGCCAAAGGAAAGATCAATCCGGCTTTTTTTTTTTTGTAATTTAAAGCACGCCAAATGCAAATCTGCA